TCTGTCCTGTGGTAAGACCTAGGACCTCCCCCCTCCGTCCATATCTAGGAAGGTGGACATCCAAACTGGCTAGGCTCCCACAAAGCCATCACATTACGTAGGATCAAAACCCCGTGCCATTGTCCTTTGCGTCTCATCAGCCCTCATTGTTCCCATGGCAACTCTTATAAAGAAAAACATTTAATTGGGGTACAGCTTTAGAGGGTTAGTCCATTATCATCATGTTGGGACATAGTAGTGTGCTGGCAGACATGGTGCTGGAAGAGCTGGGAAGTCTACATCTTTGATCCAAAGGCAACAGAAGTAGACTGAGACACTGGGCATGGTTTGAGCATATATGACTCCTCAAAGCCCACCTGCACAGTGACACACTTCCTCCAACAAAGCCACACCTCCTAATAGTGCCACTCCCTATGAGTTTATGGGAGCCAATTCCATTCAAACCACCAGAGACACTATCTCATATGCTCAAAAGACATCTTTACTTTATTTACATTTTTTGAGATTTGATTTTTTTATTTTATGTGTATGGGTGATTTATCTTCATGTATGTCTGTGAATGAAGTGTGTGCAGTGTCTGCGGAGGCCAGAGGAGGGTGTCATTTCCCCTGGAGCTAGAGTGACAGACAGCTGTGAGCTGCCAGGTGGGTGCTGGGGCTAGAACCTATGTCCTCTGGAAGTGTTCTTAACCCTTGAGTCACCTCTCAGTCACCATTTGCATCTCGAAAAACTATTGACGCTTTGTTCAGTTCATTTGTAGAGAAAATGAAACTGAAGTGATTAACAAACTGGGCAGGAAGATACAAGTAATTACTTGCTGAACCTGGCTAGGCGCGCAGCTGAGTGACAGAGACCGTGACTCCAGCACTCAAGCAGCCCAGACTGGCTGAGCAGGAGCTGGAGGTCAACCTGGGGCTACAGAACGAGGTCCTATCTCAAAAGACCAAAATTGAAAAAGAAAGGGGAAAAAATGAACCTAGGGAAACAGTCACATCTCTGCTACATGATCTATCTGTGCCTCTCAGCTCAAAGTCCTAACTTTAGCCATTTAAAAACTGGTCTGGGTGGGTCTCACCGCCAAATCTCACCATCCGAGTTAGATTCCTGAGATCACAAGGCAGAAGAACAGGACAGACTCCTGTGGGATTGCCCTTTGACACCCGCCACACACACAGACACACACACAGAGAGAGAGAGAGAGAGAGAGAGAGAGAGAGAGAGAGAGAGCGCCTCAAACTCTTTATTTTTCCCTTTGCGGCTAGTGCTGACATGTTGCCAGTAGAGGGCGGAGGTGAGACACTTTAGGAGAAGATAGGGATGACTTCCTGCTTCTTTCTGCTCAAAATGCACCAGGATTCCACAGTTGACACAGATGGAAGGGACCTGTGTCTCCTGGGCACAGGGTAGGTAGTAAGCACAGGCAAAACACTGTTGAGAGGCCTGATATGGTGATGCCTACTTGTAATGGTAGCACTCAAGAAGCTGAGTAGGACGATTACACACTACGCTACATAGCAAGGAACAGACAGACGCAGACATCGGGCTGGCAATGTAGCTCACTGGTAAAGCACTTGCCTGGAGTTCTAGTAACCCACTCACCATTAAGTCTGTTAAAGTCATTGTTCGTGTTAATGACAGCTTCTTAAGACCTCATTGCACACATTCCTCATGTTCATGTTGTGGGGAGGGCAGAGCAACTTGATTTCCTAATTGGCAGCTATTTATCTCTCCCTGGCCACACAGGCCAGCTTCAGCAAAAGGACTGTCACTCAAATGGGTAGTGCTCTTATACCAGCACAAGCTCCACTGGAGCCTGGAGACATAACAGTCTTCACAGAGGATAGCCCTGACTTCCTTTGTGTGTGTGTGTGTGTGTGTGTGTGTGTGTGTGTGTGTTTGAGACAGGGGTTTCTCCGTGTAACAGCCCTGGCTGTCCTGGAACTTGCATTGTAGACCAGGTTGGCCTCGAACCCACAGAGATCTGCCTCCTGAGTGTGTGCCACCACGGCCAGGCTGATAGCCCTGACTTCTAAAAGTGCAGCAGTCACAGGTACAGCTGTAGCTGGTACTTTGTTTTGTTTCTTTGAGAAAGGGTCTCTCCACGTAGCCCTGGCTGGAACTCACAGAGATCAGTGATCAGCCTGCCTCTGCCTCAAAGGTGTGTACTAACATGCCTGGGCATGTAGCTCCTTTTTTTTTTTTTTTGAGGCAGGTCTTCCTCTGTAGCTTAGGCTTGACCATATAGCCACTGCTGGCCTTAAATTTGTATTGATCCTCTTGTCTTTCCCTCTTAGGTTCTAGGATTACAGGAATGAGCTACCATGCCTGCCTTTTCTTTGCTTGTCTTTGAGACCAGATCTAGCTTGAGACTTGCCATGTGAACAGGCAGGACTTGAACTTGCAGTGATTCTCCTGCTCAGACCCTAGACTAACAACTGGTAACATTGGCCAGTGTTGACCACTAAGGACTCCCCAAAGGTGGGTCGCAGCTGGGTTCCTAGGCTCACTAGAGCTGTAGTGCCTGTAGGGTTAAGGCTCTGGGTACTGAGGACTGTGCAGCTTTATAGGGCATCACTGGCTGCTAGTCCCTCCTCCTCAGCTGCTGCAAAGCACTGAGGGAACCCAAAGAACTCGGATTTCTGTGCTGGTGGAGCACAAGGATGAGAACTAATCGGTATCAGTGACAGTAGAGGGCAGCAGTCAGCAGCTTCCGGTCACCCTACCCCTGGTCAGCTTTGTAATAGAATGCTTCCTCTGAGATCTTCCCTGTGAAGAGCTTTCTCTGGTACCCTGAAAGGTTACTGTCAAGTTCCACAGAGCATATATTTCCAGAAAGTTCCATGGGTGGGGTCCCACAGGGTATGCGGTTTCTCCAAGGTCTGGATCTCACATTTAGGTGGAAAGGATAGGAGTTGTTCCTTTGTCTTTTCTTTTCTGTTCTTTGTTACGTTTACCTATTTGGTGTGTGTGTGTGTGTGTGTGTGTGTGCAGGTCAGAGGAGAACTTGCAAGAGTCAGTTTTCTCCTACCATGTGGCTCCTGGGTCATGGTCTGTCTCGGTAGAAAACACTCCATTTGCTCAACCATCTCCTTAGTCCTCTTAGATTCTCTTTTTGGCATTTTAAAATAGGGTCTAACTACATAACTCAAGCTGACTTCAAATTCAAGACTCTCCTGCTTCAGCCTACTATGGAGATTAAAGGCGCGAGCTATCACACCCAGATTCATATTACATTCTTCAGGAGAATTTTCTTTTAAACCCCCGAGTAGCAGCCAGGCACTAGTGGCACACACCTTTAATCCCAGCACTCTGGAAGCAGAGGCAGGCGGGTTTCTATGAGTTCAAGGCTAGCCTAGTCTACAGAGTGAGTTCTAGGACAGTCAAGACTACACAGAGAAACCCTGTCTGGAAAAAAGAAACAAAACCCCCTTTGGGTAGCAAGACTGATGAATCCCCACTCTCAGGCATCCTTCCTCACCCAGACCTGAAGTCCAGATCTCATTAGCGCATGAGTGGATGGGAAGTTATGGGTGCTCCAAGGGCAGATCATACATGCAGCTCCTCTGGAACTTGCCAGGGGATTTGGGACTGAGAGGTGATCAAAGATAACTGGCAGGACCATAGAACCCAGGTCTTTACATGTGGAAAAAGGAATGTTTTTCATTTAGCAGGATTTGTGCTGGTTAAAGGGCAACGACATGCGTGAGATAGTTGCATGTATGTGAAAGTTTTGCTTGCATGCATGGGATCTGCTGCCTCACACTCTTGCCGCCACGCCTTGCCCACCACGGTGGATCGTATCCTCCAATTGTGAGCACGAACAAACCCTCCCTGAAGCTGCACTTGTCAGGCATTATTTGTCATAGCAACAAGTAACAAATACATTGACTTTTCTCAGCCTCTAGAGCATTGAGAGTCCCTAGACCCAAGTTCTGTTTCCTTCTAAATCGTTATTGGCTCATAAGGCAGGCCCTGGACTTAAGCAACCGTATCTGCGTTCTGTCTATGTAAGCTGGCTGGCAGTGAACTTAGGATCTTCAGGCTGTCTTATTTTTTAGTATTCAGGAACTCCTTTTCAGAGACTTCCTGTATTGCATTTCTCCTTTTGTTTTCCAGATTGATATGTAATTTCCACTTTCTAAAAACTTCTGCATATGACTGTGCTGTCTATATGATGCACGTTCACCCTGATGCCCATGGAGGCATCAGATCCTCTGGAACTAGAGTTATGGATGGTTGTGCGCCACCATGTCGGTGCTGGGAACCAAACCTAGGTCCTCTGCAAGAACAAGCACTCTTAACCAATGAGCCACCTCATTAACCAGTTGAGGTATAACTCAAATACAATAAAATTCATGCGGTTAAAATTTTCCTCAGCTTCAACTTTTTGTTAGTCTGGACTGGGGCCATGCTTTTCCCAGTATTGACACTATGACTTTCTGTTCTAGCCATCACATTTCATATATTTATTTACTTCATTTCATGTGTGCAGACCTGTCCATGGGTGTAGGCTTGCATCCCTGCATGTATGTATATTAAAAACTAAACATATGCTGTGGGGTGGTGGCACATGTCTTTAACGCCAGCACTCAGGAGGCAGAGGCAGGTGGATCTCTGTGAGCTTGAGGCCAGCCTGGTCTACAAAGATCGTTCCAGGGCAGCCAGGGCTACACAGAGAAACCCTGTCTCGAAAACAAACAAAAAACTAAATAAATAATACACAAATAAAATACCTTTGAAAAATATATGTATATTCTGTGTTTGCCGCCAGTGAAAGAGGTCCTTTGTCCTCCCAGCAGAGTATCTGTTGAGGACTGAAGTCAAGAGCTTCCGGCAGAGGGTCAGACGGTAAGGAAAGAGGACAGAGACCTCTAGCCAAGAGGAACTCTAGTGACCTCACCCAAAGACTACCTGCGCTGTAGCCGACTGCGCAGGCGCACGGAGTCCATAGGCGCGGTGGGCGGCGGCAAGAGGCGATTGGCTGGCTGCCGAGGCCCCACCCCTCATTACGTCACTACCCGGTCAGTCCGCAGGTTCGGGTCGTTCTGGCGCCGTTGCATTCGGCGTGCTGCCAGAGGGTCGTCCCGTTCTTTCACTCGTCGGGAACGGAGCACCGAGGCCTGTGAGTCCGAGGGCGCGGGGGTGGTGATGGTGGTGGTGGTGGTGGTGGTGGTGGTGGTGAGAGCAACTCCGGTAGCGGGATCGCCCGTCTGGCCCGAAGCCAGGCCTGCCTCGACAGCCGCGGGGAACCGGCCGGGAGAGGCGAGGACCTGAAGGGATCCCAGTCTCAGCCCGTAGTTTCGGCCCGGCAGCAAGGCAAAGCTGGGCGAGCTGAGAGGAGGGGCTGCGCCATTGCTGGGGTCGGTTTTGGCGCGCTCTGGCGTTCGCGCTTCCTATTGGCTGGCGCGCGCCGCTTTGGGCGGGGCTGGCGCTCCCGGGAAGGTTTGCTGCCGCTGAGTCTCACGACTGCGGTTTGCCCGGGGCCTGAGGTGGGTCCCTCCGGTCCGCTCGTAGGCAGCTGCTGACGCTGTTGCTGGGACGTGGGCATTGAGTCCTACTCCTTCCATTCCAGTGATGCCAGTGTAGGTGACAGAGGGTTCTCCTCGGACCCTGTCCTATGCTCCTGACTAATGATAGCGGGATCTTGGACCATCGCCTGCGTTTTGGGAAACATTGCCCAAGCCTGGGCGTGGTAGTGCTCAATCTCCAGCACTCAGGACGCCGAGGCCGCAGGTTCTAGGCCTACTTAGCCCTCTCGAAAGGAAAGAAGAAACAGATCGAGAGTCTCTTGAGTGGGTTTCCGATAAGGTTTTATTAACATGAAATAGAGTAGAAAATAGAAAATTGAAGAACTTCACACTGGGTTATAAGCTGTTTGTATTTGCATACATGTGTGGGTGCTGGGACACAATGTAAAATGTTAATTACATGTAAGTAAGAGAGGAGGAGTAGGTGTTAAATATGCTATGTAGCTGAGGATGAACTTGAATTCAGTTTCTCTGGCTTCCCAGCTGCTTGTGCTATTAGGCCTGGTTTATGCTGTGTTAGGAATGGAGCCGAGCTTCAAGCCATGCAGTTATGCACTCTCCTGCCCACTGAGAGACATCCCCAGCCAAAAGTTCTTGGAATTTTCTTTCCTTTTTTTGGGGGGGGGGGGGGACAGGATGTTGGCTGTGTAGCCTAGGCTGATCTGCCGCCGTATTTCAGGGTCGCAGTCAGGTGCCACCATGACAGGCAGGATGGTGTTTTTTAGGGTAGATCTGAGCCTGCTTAAGAACTTATTTTGATTTTTTTCTGGTGCCCCTTGATTAGCTCTCCCGAGATCTCTGTATTTTGTACAGGACACCAGGCCATTCTATCAGATAGTGGTTCTGCTATAAAGCAGAAAGATTTTTGTGGTGTAAATAATTTTTTAAAAAAATCTAGACTCTACCTTTAGATACATACCATACTGGTTTTAAATTGCTTGTTTTTTTTTTTTTTATGTGTGTATTGCCAGCTGAAAAATGAATCCCAGTATGAAGCAGAAACAGGAAGGAGCCCAGGAGAACATGAAGGTGTGTAATGGAGCCCCTTAAATGTGCCTGAATTTGTTCGTTTTAATTAAGAGGTAAAGTCTTGCCATGTTGCCCAGGCTGACCCCAAACTCCTGGACTGAAACTATTTCCTCAGCCTTTAGAGGGAATTTAAATTCAGGACTCATTATCAGAAGTTGGAAAACTGAGTGTACCCTGGCATATATTTTGGGGAGAGGGTGTGCAGGGTATCAAATTGTTTTCTGAAAAGGTTAAGGTTTAAACATATGAATGAATGTGGAATCTAGAAGTCTGTTATTATTGTTATTTTAATAATGTGTATATTGTTATACACATTATAAGGAAATGAACGTTATAGTAGTATACATCCCTTGGGTTATAGTTTATAAAGCTTACATGTATAAAGTAGAAATCCTGGAAGTAGTCCTTGTACGTGTGTGTCAGCAACGTAGTTGGCTTCTTTGACCATTATCAAGATCCAACATTTAGTTTTAGTTTCTTCTGTTTAGAGACTTGATTAATCTGTAATCTAAATTATATCTGAAATGTTGTTGTAATATTTGTTCTCATGGTAGTTGGCATTTGTCCCTCAGTTAAATAGTGACATAATAATCAGCAGTAGAAACTTTACCGTGGGAAAGGTGAACTCTGTGCTGTCAAGTACAGTAACTTTCTCACGCTGGTGTGGTGTCATGTTCTTGCTAACCTTGTTTGAGTATTCACCGTTGTTTGCTATCCCATGGTGCCAGTAGAACTAATGATTCTTTTTTTTTTTCCTTTTCAAAATAGAACTTACAAATCAGGAAATATATTGGGGCTATTTCCATATTTTAAAGAAGACAAAATTTTATTTTTAGAATAGAAACTTGAGGATTTTAGAGGGTTCTTTGTGGGGGCTAGGTTTGTTTCGAGACAAGGTCTCACTATGTTGCCTTGGCCATTCTGAAACTCAGAAATCTGCCTGCCTCTACCTCTGTATTCTGAAGAATGGGATTAAATGTACACGCCACCATGCATGACTTGTTTTTCTTGTTGTTTACTTGTCTTTTGAGATAGGGTCTCACCTGCCATCCTGCCTAGTGTGGCACTCACTACGTAAACCTCAGACTGGCCTTGAACTCAGAGCTCCGCCTGCCTCTGCCTACTAAGTGCTGGGTGATATTACAGGCTTGTGCTACTCTTGCAAGAGTGTTTTGATTTGTCTAAAGCACAGACATTTTATCCGTGTCCTAATGCATGGCCTTGTAGCAGAAACGGCTTCTGTTGTCAGGTGATAGTTGAGGAGGCTATTCATTATATACGCATGCGCTTGCTTCCACCTACAGTGTGTTCTAGAAGTTATATTCCTGGTGCCAGGCATAGTGCTACAAGCCTTTAGTTCCAGCACGCGAGAGGTAGAAGCAGGTGGATCTGTGTGAACCAAGGCCAGCCAGGGCTATACAGAAAACCCTGTCTCCAGTTAATTAATAAGTAAATAAGTAAAACTTATATTCCTGGGCTTGTGAGATACTTGTTGCCAAGCCTGATGACCTGAGTTGGATCCCTGGAATAAATATGGTGGAAGGAGAGAACTGACTTGCAAGTTGTCCTCTGATCACTGTGCGTGTGCGTGTGTGCACGCACAAGCAAATATAACAAAATATTTTTAATTTTATTTCAATATTAACGTGTTTGTATTTGACCAAATCAGGTGGTAGTGGTGCGCACCTTTAATGCCAGCACTGAAGAAGCAGAGTGGGGCAAATCTCTTAGTTGGAGGCCAGCATGGTCTACAGAATGAGTTCCAGGACATCCAGGGCTACACAGAGAAACACTGTCTCGAAAAAAAACAAAACAACACCACAAACCACTATGACCAAAAACAACCTAGAGAAGAAAGAGTTTATTTCAGCTTTCAGGTCTCCGGTCACAGTCCAGCGTTGAGGGAGGTCAGGACAGGAACTTGAGGCAGGAACTGAAGCATAGGCCATGGTGGAGCGCTCCTTACCTGCTTGCTTCCCCTTGCTTGCTCAGTTTGCTTTCTTATGCACCTCAGTACACCTGCCCAGGGATGATAGCGCTGGAACAGCTGAGCCCTTCATATCCATCATCAACCAAGAAAATGCCCCCATGCTTGCCTACGGGCCATTCTTCCATCAGCTGAGATTCTCTTCCCAGATGTATCCTGCTTTTTGACACAAACCAAGCAGCAGTTTTCTTTTTTTTTCTTTTTCTTTCACAAAATGCCCATAATGTTTGGGAATATTTTAGAGTTCTCACATGAGTTATTTTTATTAAATAAAAATATTTTGTGGAATCACTAACCTTTTCTCTCAGTGTTTATCTCTTTTGTAAAGTAGAATGTTTGTAAATCCCAGTGTAGAAGATTTTTTTTAAAGAATACAGTTAGTTTTTAATTGAAATTCTGTCATACATCATTTGAACTGTCACTGCCACCACAGAAAGTGTTAATGTGTGTTTTAACTAAATAAGATGGGTTGACAATGATTACAGTAAGACTACATATTAGAATGAGAAAAGTTATCTGTGTGTCCGGCTTGGGTGATATGACCTACCTATTAATGATTTTAATAACTTTAATCTTGGGAAATAAGTTTGCTGGTTGATTAAGTCAACATCTTATTATAATACAACATTGTGATATATATTATCTTGTGTTCTTAGTGGGTTTTTTTAACTCTGAGATTATAGTAAGGCCCAGTCTAACTGTATAGAAACTTGGATAGTAATCGTATAGCACTAACCAGATAATGAATCGTCTTACTTCTAGAACAGTCCTGTCCCAAGGAGAACACTGAAGATGATTCAGCCTTCTGCAGATGGGTCTCTTGTTGGCCGAGAAAATGAGGTATGTGTCCAGGGCTAGAGTGGGGAGATGGTCAGTCAGCGTTAGACAGTTCCCAAGGTTACTTCAGTGCTAATTTGTTTTAATTGTAGCTAAAGTCCAAATAGTTACTGCAAATAAATTTCTAAAATAATATTATAGATCCTGGTAGATTTTTAAAATTTACATTTATGGGCTAAAGAGACAGCTCTGTGGTTAAAAGCACACATTAGGTCTTCCAGAGGACCTAAGTTCAGTTCCCAGTGTCAGGCTGCTCACAACTGTCTGTAACTCATCTTTAAAGGGGTGGGACACCCTTTTCTGGCCAAGGACTGCATTCAAATCCATAAACGCACACAGATATAAAAATGTAATTACAAATGCAAATGCAGTCTAAAAATATTACAACTATTAATTTGTGTGTGGGTATGTGTATGTGTGTTTACCTGGGCTTTGGAGCATGTGAGTGCCATAGTACACAATTGAAGTCAGGTGACAGCGTTCAGGAGTCTCCTCTGTCACTGTGTGGGTCACGGGGATTGAATGCAGGATGTCAGCCTGGGCAGCAAGTACTTTTATCTGATGAGCCATCTCACCAGCCCTGTTTTGGTAGTTTTGAATTGTATAACTTAAAAAAAAAATTCTTAAATACATAAATAACTGAACAATGTAGCTTTCTTGTTTACCAAATCTAAGTAATTTAGCATTTCCATCACAGTTGCCAAAAGGCTTGTCCAAAAGGAAGCTTTGGAATGACCAGTTAACATCCAAGACTTCAAGCTCTGGTTCAGAAAGTAGTGAAAATAAAGATGTTGGAGATGTCACCCAGGAAGCATTTGATCTTATGATTAAAGGTACGAAGAAAGAATATAGCCTTGTCCTGAAAGTTACGATGGAGGTGTATTATTTGGTGGGGTTACTGTTTGATAATTTAATATTTTGTATTGTAAATAGGCAAATACTCCAAATTTGAACACATGAACTATTTGTTTGGCAAAACCCCAATATGGGTGAGATATTAAAGAACAGGACAGTGACTAAATTGATATCTGTGAGAGTGAATTGCATTGGGATTTTACAAGACCTGGAAATGGGCTTTTTACAAGAAAAGTGATAATAGAGGAAGGATTTGAATATTCCAAGAGGACACTAAGTAATAGGGCCAATAGGAACATCACTGGGGAAGGGGAGATAAAGGTGAAGGAGAAATATACATTATTGCTTGTTTATTTTTTGAGACAGGGTTTCTCTGTGTAGCTCTGGCTGTCCTGGAACTCCCTCTGTAGACCTGGCTGCTCTTGAAGTCAGAGATCTGCCTGCCTCTGCCTCCCTAGTGCTGTGATTAGAGTCGTGCACCACCTCCTCCCGGCTGAAATACACTTACTTAAAAGTGTATTTAATGGGAGAGTAGTGGAAACCAGAAGAGAAAAGTGATAACATGTTATAATCATGTGGTGGGCTTTTTTATTTGGGGACACAGTCTCACTCTGCTGGACTATCCTAGAACTTACTGTGCAGCCCCGACCTGGCCTTGAACTCAGGCAGTCTTGCTTCAGTGTGGCCTCACTCAAGAGTACAGGCTTGAACTGCTGCACCTGGCTCACTGGGGAGACTTTCCTCTGTATTGGTCAGAGGTCATAAGAAATTGAAGCCTAGAGAAGTTCATTGGCTTGTTCAAGGTCAGTCACAGCAACTTTTGGGTTTGTTCTGAGTTTCCTGGGATGTTGTAAGGAAGTTTAGAAGCACAAAGTACTTTTTTTTTTTTTACAGGAAGGACAAAATTGAAAATGATTGGTCTACTGGATAGAACCACAGCAGCTTTGTAGTACATTCAAAACAGGACTTGTAATGTTTGTACCCAATTAGGTTAAAATTAGTCAAGGGTTAGTTTTATACACGTCAGAAATGTTCGCACAGTCATTGGTGATTGTAGATCATTAATCATAGAAAGTACCAGTATAACTATGACTGTATATCTATCATTAGAATTAAAAGACCCACACAGACTGCCTGAATTTTGTTAAATCTTTTGTTGGTACTGTATTGGTGTACTCTTGCGAAGAAAAATCTCCTATGTATTTTAGAATGGAGCAAATGAGTATGTTGGTGTTGGGAGGCAGGTTCTTAATAGGGTGAATGAAAATACAAATGTGGTGTGGAGAAGGGAAAGGATGAATTGTTGAATTGGTTGGGAGTATTAGTATAAATTGATTATTGAAAACCCTTCCACTTGTCGGGTCGGGGGTAGTGCATGTCTTTAATCCCAGCGCTTGGAAGTCAAGAGACAGGCAGATTTCTGAGTTTGAGGCCAACAGGCTCCAAAGTTACAGAGAAACCCTGTCTCGTAAAATAAACAAACGAACAAACAAACAAATCCTTCTACTGAAAGCAAGAAACATACCAGATACCCAATTCTTGGTTTGTAAACACTATTCTGCACTGAAGCTCTTGAGGAAATGGCTGACTGTAGGATTCCAGTATCCGGGATACTATATAGAGTGATCCTTACGTCTCATATCAGAAAATAAGGAAAAATGTTGGACATGTTTAAGGAACAGATTCAATTTGATTAAATGTGTGAAATTTTCAGCCTCAAAATGACTAGTGGCAAGAATGACTTCTAATTAAACCGGCCACGGTGCCAAACACTCGAATGCATGCTGTTCCAACGTAAAGACAGGAGGATCACTTCAAAGTCATTCTCAGCTATTTATCAAGTTCAAAATAAAAACAATGACAGCATTGCTCTTGGTACAGTGAAGGGAAAAGAGATATGAATCTGTAATGGTAACTTAAGAGAAAATGGAATAGGGAGAATTCCTTTCCAAATCACATCCACAGTAGTTATAGAAGATTAAAGCAAGACTCTCCAGTAGAGTTAAAGTTGCTTGGGGAACAGATTAACCAACTCAAGTTTTGCTCCCTAGATCTCTTGTTACCAAGGAAAACAATCTCTACAAGGGAGAAATTTGGTATATGGCAGCCAAATCAAATGATCATATTTTATATTCAATATTGTAACATTTTAGTGTATATTCCTGATAATACACTGAAGACACTGCATTTTGCAGTATTCCTGCCAAAAATGTTGAGCCTGAAACAAATTCAAAATTAAGCACTCTATGTAAATTAACTGGTCTAGACATTTCAAAGGTAACACTATTGGTGCTGACTGACAGTATAGCTCGGTGGTAGAGTCCCTGTCCCCCATAAAGGTCAAACAAAAATGCATAAGCACAAAACAAACTTTGTAAAATGTTAAACCGTATAGGTAATACATCTGCACTTACTTTCCTTCTGCTGCAATTCTTTTCAAGGATTGAAAACTCTGATATGTTGGGGGAAAAATAAAAATTAGGTTGGGATTTTTCAATAGAAATAAATGACTGAGTTGTTTATAGCAGTAAGTTTTGTGTTTTTGAGATAAGGTCTTACTGTGCAGTCCAGGCTGGCCTCAGACTCCTGAGTGCTAGGATTAGAGACATGTGCTCCACCACAGCCAGGGCTTTAAAGTTATGTAAAACACCAATTTATTTCAGAAAATCCATCTTCTCAGTATTGGAAAGAAGTGGCAGAACAACGAAGGAAAGCTCTCTATGAAGCACTTAAAGAAAATGAGAAAGTACGTATTAAATTCGTACCATTTAAAGGGCTCTGTAGTGTTCTTTTTTATTTCAGCATAGTTGGACTGGTATAGACTAGCTTGAGTGTTGGTCCAATGTAAGTTTGACTACATGAGCAGAATGAGTCCTGTTTACTGCATGGCTTTGTCAGTGATCTGATTGGAGGGTTCTGGAGATCAGAGCAGATCTATGGAATACTAAGCTTTATTTTCATTTTATAGCTTCATAAAGCAATTGAACAAAAGGACAGTGAAATTGCCCGCCTAAAAAAGGAGAATAAAGATTTGGCAGAAGTAGCAGAACACGTACAATACATGGCAGAAGTAATTGAGGTAGGTAATTTCATATTCATTGGACTCAGAGTCATGGAGGCAGTGTTTGGTCAGTGAGTGTTCAGCCTGTAATGAGATTCCCAGCACCACTGAGTTTCTTGTCAGGATTTTACTTTCCTTACCTGTAAAATGGAAGTGATAAGCCCACACCTGAGAAAGATGAGAAAAGTTACTCCGTTGCACAGTTGATGCATTTCTAGGTTCTAATTCGTATAAGCATATCAGCTGTCATTTAGAAAACAAATAGGCTTTATCTGACTTTAGAGTCGGGAAATAGCTAATGTTTTCAAAGTCAGCCTGGTTTCTCTGACTTTACCAGGCTTTACTTGATAAATGCTCTCAGCCTTTTTTTGTATTTACAAAACAAACCCATCTTACCAATGGGAAGAAAGCTTTCATCAACCTTCTTGCATTAAATTACTGTCTTAACATTTAGAACCATGGCATGTTGTTATTTTAAGGCTTTTTATGAGTGTGGCCTGGAGCGAGAGTTATAGACACCTGCTATGGGTGTTAGGAATAGAACTCTGGTCCTCTGGAGTAAGTGTGGCCTGGAGCGAGAGTTATAGACACCTGCTATGGGTGTTAGGAATGCAACTCTGGTCTTCTGGAGTAAGTGTGGCCTGGAGCGAGAGTTATAGACACCTGCTATGGGTGTTAGGAATGCAACTCTGGTCCTCTGGAGTAAGTGTGGCCTGGAGCGAGAGTTATAGACACCTGCTATGGGTGTTAGGAATGCAACTCTGGTCCTCTGGAGTAAGTGTGGCCTGGAGCGAGAGTTATAGACACCTGCTATGGGTGTTAGCAATGCAACTCTGGTCCTCTGGAGGACCATGATCTTAACCATTTGAGGCGTCTCTCCAGCCCTGCCTTGACAATCTTTGAAGTACTGAACTAGTTCTCTGTTGACTTTAAAAATATGGTCCCCAACTGGGTAGAAATTAAGAACATACAGTTCTGTGATTTCAGAGAAGTACCAGTTTTAATTGTGCTTTGGAAGCAGCTCAGTCAGTGCTTTAAACAAACAAAAAGCCCCAGCAAATTGCTAACTGGACTTTGCTGAACTGTGATGTGTCACTGTGTAGACTTTGATATAACACTGTAAGTGAATTTATTGGGGGTATTATAACATTGGTGGGTTGCTCTATCAGTATACTGATTAATAGTGGGTTTCCGTTTCAAGATTTTTACAATAAATTGCTGGTTTTTCCTTAAAAGAGGCTGAGTAATGAACCTCTAGATAGCTTTGAATCACCGGATAGTCAAGAATTTGATTCTGAAGAGGAAATTGTTGAGGATTCTGAAGTGGAAGACTCCGAAGCTGGAACACGTGCTGAAGAGACTGTGTCTTCCTCCATGGATGACAAACCATGTACATGAAGTGTGAAATACACTGCCAACCTTGCCCTTCGATCTAGCTCTTCTTGGTAAATTAACTACAAGATGCAAGTACTGGGCTCCACGTTTGAATCCTGGGGCTAGTAAGCATTAAAATACAGATAGTATGTATTTTTAATCTGTTGTTTTATGTAAATAGCATTTTCATTTTTTCAGTGTCAGATGTGATTTGTGTATATTAAATAAACTTCAATTTCCTGTTGAACATGGTATATTTTGGAAACTTCAGTGTATCCAATTTGTAGAAAATGCACCTGTTTCTATAGTATTTTATTATTTCACTGTTGTAGACATGGGAAATAAACTCTTGTCTGGAGCTGATCTGATTTAAGATAAACTGTTTATCTGATCTCAGGATCACTATGAACGCTATTGATTTTCATGTTTGCATATTCTTACTCTGTCATAGGAATATGAGTAAGAATTTGAGTAGTGTCTGCTTTTCTAAAACTTCTCCAAGTGAACTTGATTAGCCAAGTTAAGGCTTGCTAACTGGTAATGTCCTGTTTTGAAACTTCCAAGCCGTTGGTACTGGGTGATCGGGATGGTCCTCAGAAGCAAAGTGGCGAGGGTGAAGTGCAGTGAGAAACTCAACATAGCTGAAATTTGGAAACTGTGTACAAGTGTGTAAATATCAAAGGAGGAATGAGAAGACAAGGAACACTGCTAGGAAAGCACGGGTGGAATATGCTCTGGTGGGCATGGATGTGCTTTTATGTAAATTGACAACATAGAACATTATCGACCTTTACTTTTCTTACCTTCATTTACTTGTGTGTATGAATGTCAGAGGTCAACTGTGGCAGTCAGTTCTTCCACCTTGTGGGTTGCAAAGCTTGCTGAGCCATGTGCTAACCCCAATACTGGCCTTTAAAGGATATTTTTAGGCACATTTTCTTATAGAACTTTAGTTTTCCTGTCTCTAATATTGAGGTAAGTCTGTCTTAGTATTACTGTGATGAAAAAGGCTACTGAGTTTGAAGTAAGTGCTTAAAGAAGCTATTGGGCTGGGATGTTGAGCTTAGCATGCACAAAGCCCTAGCTTATCCCCAGCTGCATAAACCAAGAGTAGTGGACACTTGTAATCCAGTGCTTTGGGGGGTGGAGACAGGAGGAACGGAAGGTCCGGGTCCTGCTACATAATGAATTCAAGGCCAACCTGCATACATGAGACCCTGTTGCAAAACAAGCCAGGGAAATGGCTCAGTGGAGAGGAACACTAGCTGTCAGAGCCCAGTTTGAGACACCCCCCAACCCCTCTTTTCTCTCTTGTTTTGTTTGTTTGTTTTTGTTCTTGAGACCAGGTTTCTCTGTGTAGCTGACTGTCCTAGAACTCTATGTGGACTAGGCTGGCCACTGACTCGGGAGATCCACTTGCCTCTGCCTCCCCAGAGCACTGGAGTTCTAGGGTTAAAAGGTGTTTGCTAACGTGCCCAGTTAATGGAACTTGTGCTTTTAAGACAAGCTAGATGCTCTGCAGTCCCAGCATACTTCTATGTGGAGAGAGGAAGCAGAGACGAGCTCAGCTGCCATCTAGCCTGTGGTGCAGAGTAGCAGGAATGACAACTCAGGAAAGGTGTCCTCTGACCATTTATGTGCCTTGGCCTATGTGCCATACTCAAATAATAACTATTTTGTTTGTTTTGTTTTGTTTCTTGGTTTTTTGAGACAGGGTTTCTCTGTACCTTTGGAGCCTGTCCTGGAACTTGGCTCTTGTAGCCCAGGCTGGCCTTGAACTCAAGAGATCCGCCTGCCTCTGCCTGGGATTAAAGGCGAGTACTGGGATTAAAGGCATGCGCCACCACCGCCCGGTTTATAATAATAACTATTTTAAAGACAAAAATAGAAGCTATTACTAATAACTTTGTTCAATAGAATTTGCAGATGATGGTGACATACTTGTGTGTACATTGCAGGAACCACTAGTTCAGCATTCGAAATAGTGTGAATGGGAAACAATTTTTAGTTTATTGCTGCACACCGCGCCCCTGTGTCTGCACTCTGTGTGCTGGCACCCAGTTCGCGAGCTTCGGGAAAGGGCTAATACAAAGACACACACAGACAGAGAGACAGCGACACGGGTCATCCTTGAATTCCCCAAGAATGCCCCCTTTATTGTGTTCAGGGGCAGATTATATAGAGATAGCCACGCCCCAGCCAAACCCACCAGGAACCACTCTCCTGCCATCAGGAACTCCTGAAGGTCTCGTGCTCAGAGCAGCTGTAGGCCCTCAGATCAGGGGAAAACAAGTTGTTTACAAGAAATTCAGGATCTGGGATCTCACTGCTCCCAACAATTTATGTTTTATAAACCTTGAGACTAGTGGCTACTAGGAGATGGTGACCATGCATGTCTTGGATTTGGGCCACTAGCTTAAAGATTGCATTAGAGAATCGGCAAATTAACTTTCATAAATATTTGGGATAGGGCAAGGGGGAGAATCCGATGTCACAATTAGAGTGGCAAGTGGGGCTGTGTGCTTAGGTTAGTTACACAAGATAGTAGGTTTCAGGGTAATGTTTCGTACATGTCGTGCTGTGGTCTTAGCCCTTTCCACATTTCCTCCTGTCCCCTTTTTGTTGAACTCCCCCACTGCTCATCTTCTCAAATAGTTCTGCTTTCATGCGCATGTATTCCATTCATCTCTTTCCTCCTCTTCTGGTTATAAAGAGTTTTTTGTTTTTGTTTTTCGAGACAGGGTGCATCTGTGTAAAAGCCCTAGCTGTTCTGGAACTGCCTGCCTTTCCCTCCAGAGTGCTGGGATTAAAGGCGTGTGTCACCACCGCCTGGCCGGCTATAAAGAAGATTTTTTTTAAATAACATGATAATAACTCTTAGGACAAATGTCAGAGCAGGAAAGATTTCTAAAGCAAAATGAAAAAGCCTTAACAATATTTAGGTTTGCAAAGGTTTCTCATACAGTACATAAAGAGCTAAAATTGTGTCATCACTAGGCTTTGTAAAAAGTAGAAACTTCTCTTTGAAACACAGGCAGAGGACACAGCTTCTCTGAGATGTTTTTCTCCATTTACATAAGATTTTTTGATGTGGGATTCTCTCTGTATGCTAGGACTATGTTTTATTACCATTGGTTAATAAAGAAGCTGCTTTGGTCTATGATAGGGCAGAGTATAGCCAGGCTGAAAGGTATATATGGAGAGAGTAGGTGGAGTCAAGGCAGACATCTTGTAGCTGCTGAAGGAGACAGACACTGGAATTTACCGGTAGGTCACAGCCTCGTGGTAATACATAGATGAATAGAAATGGGCTAATTTAAGATGTAAGCTAGCTAGGAATACACCTAAGGGATTGGCTGAACAGTGTTGTAATTAATACAGTTTCTTTGTGATTTTTCGGGTCTGGGCGGCCAGGAAATGAACAAGCAGTCTCCATTTACAATTCTCTAAGACTCAGGCTTATGTCGCCACTGTTGGAGAGGCTTGACTGGCAGGCAATCTTAGAACAGTGGACTGACAAGATGGGAAAGCCTGACAACCTGAATTCAGACCCTGCAGGCCATGGTGATAGGAGAAAACTGACCCTTAATTGTTCTTGACCTGCACATGTGGGCCTTGGAGTGCGAGTGGGTGCACTTGCACTAAAAAGCTATTCTGCTCGCCAGGCATGGTGGCGCATATCTTTAATCCCAGCACTAGGGAGACAGAGGCACACAGGAGGATCTCTGAGTTTGAGGGCAACCTGGTCTACGAAGTGAATTCTAAGACAACAAGGGCTACATAGAGAAATTCTTTTACCAAAAAAATCACAACAACAACAACAAACAATTTGCTAATTGCAGTGCTTTCAGAAGTACATTCCAGTGCATGCTGGTGTAGCACCACATTGCCATAGGGCCTTTCATTTTGTTTAACAAACTATCCCTTCAAAAGAGCTCTGTGGACTTAGCCTTCTGTAATGGCACACGCCTGTAACCCCAGCACTCAGGAGGCAGAGGCAGGAGAATCTCCCAAGTTTGAGGTCAGCCTGGTGTACAGAGCGAATTCCACGATAGCCACTTTAAAGTTACATAGTAACTCTTGTCTTCAAAAAAAACCCCAACCTAACAACAAACAATAGCAACGAAAAAAACCACAAAGATCTCTGGACTTAAGGTTTTACCTGATAAATCACAGGTCAAGGAATGGCAAGACATTTGTAACTATCAAAGAGCACCAGAGTCCTCTGGATAGGATAATGGGTCCTTATGGTGTGTTTATCAGCCCAGTTACCCAGCAGGAGTAAAGCTTCCATTTCCTGCTGGGCAATGGTGGCACACACCTTTAATCCTTGACAATCAGGACTACACAGAGAAACCTTGTGTAGTAATATGAGCGGCGGGGCTGCATCCCCAGCACCCTGGCAGCCTGGCTAGCTTATGCTCCGAAATAACAACACACAAACTGTATTCATTTAAACACTGCTTGGCCCTTTAGCTCTAGCCCTTACAGGCTAATTCTCGCATCCTGATCAACCCATAATAATCTGTGAGCACCGGTCTTACCGGGAAAGGTTCAGCATGTCTAACCTGGCGGCTTGCTTCATCTCGTGCGTCTGCCCGGGAGAGCGGAGCATGGCATCTCTCTGAGGCATCTGCTCCCTAGAGGAGAGCTGTCGAGTCTGAGCTCACTTCCTCTTTCTCCCAGCGTTCTGTTCTGTTTACTCCTCCCACCTATCTTCTAACCAATGAGGGCCAAGCAGTTTCTTTTTATTTAACAATGACCTTCCTCCATCAACCTTGTCTCAAAAAGCCAAGAAAAATTCCATTTTCCCCACAGTAGTTTTTTTTTAGTTTAAACTTATTTCCATTTGATTTAAAATTCAAGTTGCTATTATATGGTTTGATACTCAAAGAGGAATTTGTTCAAATAATGTTGCTAACATTTCCAGGTAACTTGATAGCAATGGCCACAAATGCCAGGGACACCTACTGTGGTGTTTGCACTTTTGGGAGGCTTGGTTCTTCTGGAACTGGGGTTCCCAGCTCATCTGAAATTGGTCCAAGTTCCTGGGTCATGTGTGGGCAGATCACCTTATGGAGGCTTTGTCTTTAGCAGCGATAGCTCAGTTTCTTTGCATGTTGCTGTAATAAGATTCTCTGGCAAACAATTTATTTTAGAATTTTTTAAAATATTTATTATGTATACAATATTCTGTCTGTGTGTATGTCTGCAGGCCAGAAGAGGGCACCAGACCTCATTACAGATGGTTGTGAGCCACCATGTGGTTGCTGGGAATTGAACTCAGGACCTTTGGAAGAGCAGGCAATGCTCTTAACCACTGAGCCATCTCTCCAGCCCTATTTTAGAATTTTTTATTTTTA